CATGTCCAGCGACAGCGGATCGATGCCCTGCAGACGACAACAATAACAATGATGATGTTAACACGAGCCAGCATGTCCAGCGACAGCGGATCGATGCCCTGCAGACGACAACAATGACAATGATGTCAACGCGTGCTGTGGGAATGTACCGCGCAGAGCATTATTATTCGACAAGGCTAATTACGTACGCATACCAGCCTTACTGGTCATTGTCATCATAAACGTGTGACAACGTCCAGCACTATAAACACTGACAATAACAATGATGGTGATGACAATGATGGTGATGACAATGACACCAATGCTGATGACAACAATGACTATGATGGCTATGACAATGACAATGACGACAATGGTGGTCAATTCACCGTGGTCATCATCACACGTACTACGGAGGTGATGACGATGATGACGACCAGGACAAGGACGAGCTGACTATGGGGTGATACTCCATTAGGAGTGTTGCCAACATTAATGTCATTAATGGTCATAATAACATATATTATATATATATGGTCATGGTCATATATATTAGTTTGTGGATTAATGTCATTTAGGTTAGGGTTAGGGTTAGGGTTAGGGTTAAGATTATCAATTATCAATCATTAATCATTAATGATATCAAAGTTGGGAACACTCCTAATGGAGCGTTAGCCTGACTATGCTGGTGACGACGACGATGCTTATGATAATGACACTATATGACACAATTTTGCGATTGCGTTGACAGTTATTGACGTACGTGTGACGCAGCAAGCACTTGCTGAACTGAAAAACTATTGCTATTTCTGCCACTCATGGTGCCCACGGGATAATCGAAGCAGTCGTTCAGAGAATTCTGTTTCTCGTTCATGCATTTAGTCAGAAGAACGAAAGTCAATTACAGATTTCGTTCATCACAACGACTCCCCGACGATATTCCCGTAACTACGCAATCAAACAGACGTAGAAAAGAAAGCAAGGATTGGCTGTCTTAGTGTCTATATTAACGCACCTCTTCTCGTATTCCATCAATAGGTTAGCCAGTTACCAGACCAAAGTGCTATAACTTAAATTCAACACATATATCAAGCATCGAATTTGGCAATTTGCCTCTGACAGCAAGTAATGCT